TTCCTTGAGAAAATTTGGCATGTACTGTACCTGATATATATCCAAAATAATAGATATTGAATCGAATCGAATCGAACCGCAAGCTTGTGAATGAGAATCGAATCGAATCGTGACATTTGTGTCAAAACCCAGCCCTAATATATATATATATATATATATATATATATACATATACATTTTATATATATATATATACATTTTATATATAAAGTAATTTAGCCAATATTCTGTTAAATTTTATTCAATTAATTTATCACACTAATATTTGACCGATTAAATGTTCTCTAAGCACTTTTATTTCTCCAGGTAAATTCTTTTATTTTATTTTATTATTTTAGAGATTCTTAAATGTGGCTGATTTTGGATCCTGATTTGGGTGATTTACAGGGGTGTAAAATACTATTATTTTACTTGATTGCTGTACTTGAGTATTATATTTTTTATTTCACTCAATTTAAATTGCCAATATTCTCTTAAATTTTATCCAATTAATTTTATCACACAAATCTTTGACTGACTAAATGTTCTCTAAAATAATTTACCTAGAGAAAAAAAAATGGTTTCCTATTTTATTTTATTTTATTTTATTTTATTTTATTTGTTACAATGTATCAATTCTTAAATGTGGCTGATTTAGTACAGTACTTTTACTTTTTAATACTCAAATACAATTTAAAGTTGTACTTTTACTCAGAACGAATATTCTACTCAAGTGTATTTTTGAGTGTTTTTTACACCCCTGTTGATTTATTACAAAATTAATCGACAGACTAAATGTTCCGTAAGCGTTTTCTGCCATTTTGCTAAGGTCCACCATTTTACTTTCTTCAAACTGTGCCGCCTAAAATCATCACACAAGAAAAAACCCAAACATGCAAAATGATTGACAGCCAGATGGCTTTTTTGATTGGCTAAAAATCGGCAGAGGTGGGGGCAAATCACACGTTCAAGTCTCAAGCAAGTCTCAAGTCCCTACCATCAAGTCTCAAGCAAGTCTCAAGTCACAGTACAAACAAATCAAGCAAGTCAAGTCACAGTATCAAACACGAACAAATATTTTTTTGCCACACGACCTTGTTTATTTTCCTCAGAAATTAACTTTCTTAATTATACATTTTAAATAATAATGTTTTAAATATAATATTTTGAATATAGGCAAAATACTACTTTGTGTACCGCTAAAGTCTGTAATTGAGAAAATATTGATAAAAATACAAGATAAAAATATGTATCTCATATTTATGTTATATTGAGTTTGACCATCCTAGGAGTCACAGATAATATTTAACAGATGTTGGAAAATTATTTTGCACTAAATAGATCCAGCAAATACTGGGATTCAGTCTGGGAGCACGTTAAATGATATGCTATGCTGACTACAAATCACCCCTTATATCAGAAATAAAATGGACCCAAAATTTTCATCGGATATAGACACCCTATTTGGATTGTTTCTTTCACTTTGCATGACATTGTTCCATGCCTACATTGTTCTTGAAAACTATTGTCATGGCTCAAAACAAGAAACCTATTGCTGTTAATGTGTATGTATCTTCCCCTGTAACTTATTGATTTCTTTGATTTTATAATAAGAACTAAATTGACAGCTATGCATTTAAGGCTATGATAGGCCTACTCTATGGCATTAATGCCGCCAGTAAGTGGTGGCAAATCACTGCTTTATCACAGAAGCGTTCATTGAACTGATTCATTCTAAACAGTTGATTCGTTCATGAACAAGCAAGAATGGACCACTGAATCACTCAACCGGTTCGTTCAAATCCCTGGATTCGTTCAGTATTGCTTAGAGACGCGCGTAACTCTTAAGCTGTGGGCTGAACGGAACTGGCAGCCGCGCTGAAAATATTACTAAATATCGTATGTTATAAATATAAAAACTCATACTAGGGCCATTTTGACAACATATCTTGGATTTTGGGTGCAAGAGAAACATCACTAATCGATAAAACACTGTAGTTTCCGTGGTACAAGTCCATATATTGATTTACAAAGAGGGATGCTTAACACTAAAGCACTGTTTTGAGAGTTTAAAGTTTGACATCGTTAATTACAAACTCGAGATCATTTAGTCAAGCAAGTCACAAGTCCTTAAATTTGCGACTCGAGTCAAGTCATGTGACTCGATTCCCCCACCTCTGAAAATCGGTGACGCTTATTTGCTGTTTTCAGAGCCTATATATGTGATGCATAATAAAGACATTTTTGTATGGTTTTCCTAATATAAACAGTTTATTAACATTAAATTCCTCTTCCTATTTACTGAATAGAATGTGAAGAAGCCAAAAAAAAAATCTTTAAAAAAATGTCTGAAGCATTCTGAACTGCATTCTGAACCAGCCTCTGTTGCATAATATATGTCTAGTGTCTACATTTTTTTTCATTGACCAGTCTTTCTTTTCTCTCTCCAGTCTGAAGCTCGAATGTGACAAGCTGGCCAGTGAGAAGTCAGAAATGCAACGTCATTATATCATGGTAAGTCTGCACAGAACGCACTCTCCTCCAGAAGGACGGGCCTTAGGCTAGATGTGCCGGAACATATTCACATCCGCAAGAAACTAACCTAGCCCTTACCTGTCTGATTCCATTGTGTCTTATTCTCTGTCTGCCTCTGCACTGTCTTTTCTGCTGTTCTATTACCATTCTGTACCTCCTGTCCACCTAGAGGCATCATGCACCTATTTTTTTGAGGGGACATCAGTGGCGTAGCTGGGCTCACTTGGTACTCTAGTGACTTAAAGGAAGTTATATTTTCTTTACTTACCTGTGTTTATTTATTTACTTAAAATTTGGTGGTCCTTTATATATTTTATTACTATATTTAGTATATTTGCTTATTTACAAACAACTTTGTGGTTCTTATTATGCCTGTATTTGTTTTTTTTGTTTTTCCAGTTTAGTATTATATTATATTAGGCGCTTTCGCACCGCGTAGTTCTAGGAACTAGCCAGCAGGGTTGTTCCTAGAGAACCAATTTTTCCCTCGGGCCGTTTTCCTGGTTGCATTCGCACCGGCAGCAGGAACTCTGAAGTGGCCGACAGCGACATTTATTCGCGGCATTTACAAACATCAACAACCGGTGAATGGAGGATGCCGTGTTCGGAGCTGTTTTTGTTGTGTGTGTGTGTTGTGCCGTGTCGTAGGTTTCATGATAACTGAGATGGAATGTAAATGCACATTTTACGCAATAGAAAGTGTGTGAAAATCTGACTAAATCTCCTTGTAGTTATCACTGAGAAAAGAACACAACGCTGCAGACAACAGGTAAATGCCGTTATCGGTGTTTTCCATGTTCGTGGAGTAAATATTTTTACACGGCTTTTTAAAAATGCCGGATAGCCGGTGTTTCGTATGCGTTTGGCAAATCAGCGTACACTGCGCCACTGATAGTTCCTATTAGTGATCGACCGATATTGATATTTTATTACCGATACCAATTATTTGCATGTTTATGTGCCCGATAACCGATATGCAGACCCGATATTTATTTACTGTTATAAAGTAAATAAATTACTGAATGAAGTAAGAACATACTTCACTTTGGTTTTTCCTCTTTTCAGTCATCTTTTTTTTT